AGATTCCTCTGCCCAGTGATTGAGTGAGACCTCACAACCTTGAGGACAGCTACCATTGAGAAGACTTGTGCTCTGAGCCACAAGGAAGTTCATGTCACCAGATGCCTTCACTCCCAGCTCTATGGCCTTGGAAGAGTCACTTGCCCTGAGCCTGTTCCTCACCTGAGTAGTGAGGAACAGCAGAATCTTAGAGAAGATGGATATGGTAGCCGCCCGAGGTACCCTGGACCTTGGGACAATTGGTGGCTACAGCTGGGCAGAAGCCTTGACAAAGAACAGGGACGATTCCTGTTGGCAGCCAAGCCTAGACCCACCCACTTTGGCCTCTCAAACTTCAGCCGGGGCCAGCCCCTGAGGACAGAGGGGCAGCAGATGGGTGTGGCTCAGAGCATCCCATCCAGAGGGCCTTGTGCCATGGGAGGTACCACACCCGTTTTAGAACTGAGCACAGTGAGGCCAAGGCTCCTAAGCTGGGCCTGCACCACAGAGTTTGCTGGGATGCTGCTGTGGGGAGGGATGCAGAGGTGCCTCCTATGGGAGATCAGGACCTTCCCCATGTTCCCAGGAGCAGGGAATCTAGCCCCTCAGTCTCACCCTGCAGACAGTCCCTGGGATCACAGCCACAGCCCAGGTAGCCACTGAGACCAGCTTGTCCAGGAGCTAGCAAGAGGCAGTAATGGCAGCCTGAGAGTGAATACAGCTGGAGAGAGTACAGCCCATGTGATAGCCATATGACCTGGAGCCCACAATTACCGAGCCTCAATTCCTTATCTGTGCTTGAGGAATGGACACCTGCTTCCGGGAGTATGGCTGCAACAGGGACACCATGGAGCTCCCTGCACTGATTGCCTGGAGAGGGCTTGTCCTCACACAGTCAGCACTCAGTGGCTTCCTTCCTGGATCTGGGGCAAGTGTGTAGCCCTAAGCAGTGCCAACCGTCCCACCTGGCCTCCACTCAACCTCTTCCAGCCCTTGCTGACCCTAGAATCCTCAGGCAACAAAATTATAATCACTTTTAGTGGGAAAGTGGTAGATAGGATCAGAAATGAGATGCAGCAGGAGAACCGTAGGCAATCCCCAGGGGCAGCATCAACCTCATTCCTTGGGACACATTTCCTAACCCATACACAGCCAGTGTGAACCTCAGGAAGTATACAGGCACAGATGATCACCTGGTCACATTGTTCCAGAGGGGTGACTCTTAGAGACTGAAAATACTCTTCCCTGTTATTTGCCACAGGTACCCTCAGCCCCCTTTCTCCTGGCTTGGATAAAGTCCCAAGCCTACAGGAAGGTGGGAAAACAGCCCAGGCCACCTCATGCCCACTTCTCTACCATGTCTCATGCTGAATGATGTGTGGCATTATCCAAGCTTCCTACTCCATGCCCAGGCCCAGCCTAGGGCTCTAGTCTCATCACCATAGATAAGACAACTGAGAGAGCCAGGAAGCACAGCCAATATGGTCATGGAAGGCACCCTGGGCTGTCACACCAGGTGCTAAAGCTGGGGAAGGCAGTTGTAGCCTCCTCAGTGAACAGATGTCCACTCCAGACCCTGTCTGCAGCTGTCCTAGAGCAGGATCCACAACAGGGTCCTCACTTAGAGTTCCCAGGACCACTGAGGCCAACCTCACCTCTGCATGGCAGAGAATCTTCAAGATGGCAGTGGGAAATGGTGTCAGGGCTAAGCTTGGTATTGATAGTGAGAAGTGAGCTGTGTGCCAAATCACATGCTCCTTGCCATTGGGTACCTCTAGACACAGGGTTAACCCTATGCTCCTGGTGCTTAAGAAGTGTAAGTGACTGGCATGAGCCTTGGAGAGCCAAATAATGACCTTAAGCTGTTGCAGCACTCACTCTGGTCAGAGAGGGCTTCCTAGAGGTGTTGATGCCCAGTCTGAAGGCTAGTCCTGGGAAGCTGTATGGTTAGCTGAGGAGCCTGGGTGTGAGTCACTGAATAAGGTTCCAGCAGGCTTGTGCACAGCTAATGTGTGGATTTTGGGTGAGCAAAGCATCCACTCTCAGGACCAGCATCATGCCTGTGTAGCACAAAGGGATGAGGAGAGGGTGGTACCTGGCTTTGCCCTATGCCAGCTCTCAGCTATTTGGGTAGCAGTGTGGTCCTGCCTTCAAGCAGGAATCTTGCCTTCCCCACTGCTACCTCCTTGTCATCTTGGACAACATTATTGTGTCCCCCTCACATACTCTCTTATCTCCCTGCTGCTAAAGGATCTCAAATATGCACCCTGATAAGGCGGCGCAGGCCCTGCTTCCCAGCCCCTTCCCAATGCCAGCCTCTACTTTCCCCAGAGTAATTAAGATAAATGCAGCCGATAATGTGTGCCGTATTCTTAAGCATACCCTCTGGGCCACATCTCAGATATAATTTTACCTGCAGAGGTTTATCTGAGTGCTCGGGTAACAGTTTGTAAGGAAAGCGGCAGCGTTTGAAGAAACAGGAAAGGGGAATCGCTGAAAGAAACATCAAGGCACTGCAACTGCAGCCCCTCCCCTGGACACTGAGCAGCCCAGGCAACTGAGAGAAAAGGAATGCCCCACCCCTCCAGGGATGCTGGGGCCAGCTGGGGATCTGGACTTGGATCTCTCCTCTAGTTCAAAAGGGTCCTGGCCTGCTGAAACTCACACCAACACAACAGCACCCAGAAGCTTTGCCAGGAGCCCAGGCAGGGGAGAACCGTCCTCATGCTGCCTATGGTCCTTGCACCTGAACAGGGAGCCAGGGGCTGGTGCTCTAGCCCTAGAATGCTGATGGCAGAATATGGGTACAAAGACCAAGGGCAGAGTAGTGTTGAGTTTTGCCACAGGCTGAACAAGTGGAGACAGAGCTGTTCAAGAACCTGGGACCATGGGCGGAGAGATGGTTCAGTGGTTAGGAGCACTGGCTCCTCTTACATAGGTCCTGATTTCAATTCCCAGCAACCACATGATGGCTCACAACCATCTGTAATGAGATATGGTGCCTTCTTCTGGCCTACAGGCATACATGCAGGCAGAACACTGTATACATAAATAAATCTTTTTAAAAATTGTAAACAAACAAACAAACAAAAAAACCTGGGACCAGCCAGGATGGAAAAGGTGAGAATCAGGTGCTGAGACAGACAGGCTTTGTTGGGTGTAAGAATCAAGGAAGGGCACATGCTGCCTGCATTTTATATGACTGCTTGGCAGTATTTCCACTGTGTCATCTTGAGCAAGTCACAGACCTCTCTGAGCCCTAATTTCTATAGCTGTTTTCTTCCTTTTTTTTTTTTTTTTTTGGTTTTTCAAGACAGGGTTTCTCTGTGTAGCTTTGGAGCCTATCCTGGCACTCAGACTGTAGACCAGGCTGGCCTCCAACTCACAAAGATCTGCCTGCCTTTGCCTCCCGAGTGCTGGGATTAAAGACGTGAGCCACCAACTCCCAGCTTCCTATTTTTATAGTGATCTGGAAGCCCTGAATCAGCCACATCTCATGCCTGCCTGGCACAGCATCTGACACAGGTATAGACTAATGGATGAAGATGGATGGATGGATGGATGGATGGATGGATGGATGGATGATGGATGATGATGGAGGATGATGGATGGATGGATGGATGATGGATGAATGGAGGATGGATGGATGGATTGATGGATAAAGGATGATGGATGGAGGGAGGGTAGACGGGCAGATCAAGGGTAGGTGGATGAATGATAGATGATAGATATTGGGTGGGTAAATAGAGTTCTGCATGGCCCCCAGCCAGCCTCCACTTCTTCTAGCCTCTGTTGCCCTTCTCAGAAAAAGGCCTCAGCCAGTTCCCTCAAGTCTGCAGCTGTGAGGAGGCATGTGTCCCTCTTGGGCTTGCACCACCAAGCAGCCATCCGTTGGCACTTCAGCAACAGCAGTCTGAGATAGGTTCTTAGGGCCTGGTCATCTCAAGAATCAAGAGTGTATGTGCATCTGGTGTCCCACAGGGTTGCAGCTCAAGGTTCTTGTTGGTGACAGTCTCACTAACGCTCAGCTGACGCCAGGCCCACTCCCTAGGTGGTTGTTCACATGCCATGCCTCAGCTCCTTGCCATGTTTTCTTTCCAGATGGTCACTCTATGTCCTTCCCCAAGTGTGCAGTCAGAGAGCTGAGATATGGCCTGTGCAGGAGAGTCCAGTACACTCACTGCCTCCAAGATTTGTCCCTTTCGAGTTGATATGTTTAGGTTGCAGGGATGAGGTCAAATGATACATGACTATTACGGTTTTATTTTTACATTTATGTATTTGTTTATTTGGGGAGGAGTACATGCCACAGTACACATGTGAAGGTCAGAGGACGACTTTTGTAGGAGTTAGTTCTCTCCTTCCACCATGTGGGGCACAGGAGTCAAACGAGTTACCAGGCATGGTGGCAATGCCCTTACTTGATCAGCCATCTTGGCAGTCCCTGTCTATTTAAAACTACACAGACAGCATCTCTCCAAATTAGGAGTCCTGCAAGATGCCCCTTCAGGTCACCTTCACCATGTGCAGAGGCCGAAGTAAGAGGCTGCCCAGCATCTCTGAGGGGTCTCTACCTGGAGGCAGCCATGTCAGGGTACTTATGAGTAGACTAATGAGATCTTTATGTGGAGCGCCCTGGAGTAAGTGTGTACCAAGGCTCACATGCCGTGACAGCAAGTAAGGAGCAAAATGCCAGGCAGAGGCACGCTCAGGAGCAGAGCACACTGGTGGGAATGCTGATCTCAAGGCCTGCTCTTTGGGGCTGATAGGTTGCACTGGGAAGGCTGGAAGCCTGACGTCTGACAACTCCTGGGGTGTACAGTAACTATAGCACAGCTGTGGCAGGCTGCCTTGCACCACCCATCCCACCAGTGGCTGTCATTTACTCTCTTTGCTCAGAGACACATTGGAGAGAAGCAGTAAGCTCTCTTAGGGCTCTCCTCTCATGCAGAAACAACCAAGGATTCTCCGGGGGAAACAGATCACTCCAAATTCTAACATACTGTCCTCTCTCTTTGCAGCCAAGAAGGTCCTGTTCCTCAGACAATTGGTCAGAAACCCAGTGAGGGGCTCCAGGTCCCCAGGTATGTGATGTGTACAGCTAGAATGCATATGGGGAGCCACTATCACTGACTGGAGGAGGTGCTTTGTCCCTGAGGCTCCCTCCACCCCAGCATACCACTCTTATCCCCTGCTCAGACAGTAATTGGGGGTGCCAGCTGGCTAGCCTTCTCCTGAGCCAGGCCATCTGACAGGCAGTTTGAAACCATAGCTCTGAGCAGGGTAGATGGCAGCATCACCTGGGACCCCTGGGACCCCTGGGACCTAGCAGAGCATCAGCTCTGACAGCTCCTGGAGTCTGTAGTGGCTAAGGCACAGATGTAGTAGATTGACCTGTGCCACCCACCCACCAGGGGAGCTCAGTTCCGCCCTAGGGTGCCTTCCTAAAGCCAAAAAGTTCATCAGGAGCCCCACCTCCTCCTCAGCCCTCAGCGAGGGCCCCAGTTTTATGTAGTAGTGTCACCCATTAGGTAGGGGCTTAATGGGGTACCCTGGATGTTTGTGCCCCCTGCCACCTAGTCCCTGAGAACTTCTGGACCCAATGTGATATGGCTGAGTTCTGCAAGAGACTGGGAGGTGCCCCTCTGGAGGGCCAACTCCCTCCACTAGCAGCGGTGAGGCCTTGGGAAAGTTGCCTCGGTTCCTCACCCATAATCAAAGGTGACAGAAGCAGTTCTGAGTGTCTGAGCCCCTGTGAGGACAAAGGAACCACATTCAGCAGTGCAGTGCTGGAATTAACACCATGGGCCCCATTGTATAATCAGGCAACAAGCAAGTCTTTCCCAAGGATCCAGTTGCCCATCACAGTGAGGACCAGAGAAGGGAAGAAGGCCCTCCTCCAGGTGGGTAGGCTGGAGAGGAGCCTAGATGTGGCAGATGAAGTTCCCTGTTGCCCCAGCCTGCTCCCTCACCCCAACCAAGTCTACCCTGCTCTCTAATCTTCTGTGGTTGCTTCCCAGCACACATGGTATGCTGCCCACTGCTGGTGGACACTGGAACTTCACCTACCTTGAAGCTCTGGGACAGGCCTGCCCTAAATTAGCAGGGCTTTTCATGCCCAGCAGGTAGCTATTGGGACTCCTCTGAGGAGAAATGGTCTTCTCTAATGTTCAGACCCCTCCCCTTTCCTACTTTCTCCCTCCACTTTTCACCGCACCTCCCTAATACCCCAGGCTTTTGTCAGGGATCCTGCTGTCCAAGCCAGTCACCCTCTTTTCTGAGAAAAGGGCTTCTGAGATAGCAACACAAATGATTGCTGCTGCTGGCCTAGACATAGTCTCCATAGGAGGCTCCAAAGTCGAGCATGAGCTCCCTGCACCCCCTGACCAAGATTCAGTCACGATAAATCTGCAATTCATTTTTGTCCTTTCCTTGCAGGCTCCACGCAGGACCATGAATACAGGCTTCCCTGAGCCCCACCAGGGGGTGAGGATGGCCACCCAGCCCATTACCTGGGCTCCTCCTCCAACCACTGCATCCTCCTAGCACCTGGGACGGTGGGGCCATGCCAGGAGAGCGGCCCCCAACTCTACCCAGAGACTTGCAGCTCTGCCAAGTTGCCAGCAGTCTAGGGGGGCCCTCTCAGCACCCTCTCAAGGACCACAGCTCTTCCAGCAGGACCACCCAGGGCATGAGAGATGAAGGCAGCAAGGCCCAGGCCCAAGGTTCCCCTGAAGCCCAGCTGAGTCAGGCGAAAGAGGTGGAGCCAGAGGACCTGCTACTGAGAACGCAGGCCACAGCGGGACAGAGCTGTGTGCAAGCTTACTCATGGCTGGGCAGCGGGATGGAGAGCAGTCACCCACAGCTGCACAACCTAAGCACTTCAAGGATCAGATGCATCCTGAATGAGCCACCTAAGAACCTACAACATGGAGCCCCCCAAGTGTCAGAGACCAAAGCTCCTCGGCTTCAAAAGACCAGAGCCCGTCACAGGCCCAGCATCCCAAAGGCCGAGGCCCTGCCCTCCCCAGAAGAGAATGGCTCCCAAAGGTGCTTTCAGGAGGCCCCTTCCAGCTTTACCTCCACCAACTGTACCTCACCAAGTGCCACCCCTGGGACCTTGCCCCAGAGGACCCCCCAGAGCAGTGGCACCAGCCCCCATAGGCCTGCTTCTGGCCCTAACGTCCAGGCCATTGGGACCAACCCCTGGCCGCCTGCTGCTGAAAACAGCTTCCTAGGTGCTAATTTTGGGGTCCCCTCTGCAGAGCCCAAGCCCTTCCCTGAAGGTAGTAGGCCTAGCAGCCCCCAGGGGGTCTCTGTCCCCTACCCCTTCCCTGTAGAAACAGCCCAACATGAGCAAGCAGCTGGGACAGTGTTGTACACCTTCCACCAGCCCCTGGTAGCATGGTCTGAGGGGGCCCTGGGCACAAACCCTGCCTACCCATCCCTGTCTTGCAACCCAAGCCAGTCTGGGGGAGCCAGCACTTCCAGTGATCTTGGAGGTACTCTTTCCCCTCCTGGTGCTGCTCACTTGGTCCCAAGCCCCTTCCATGACAGTTTGCACAAGAGCCTGACCAAAGGTCTTCCTGAAGGCCCCCCTCCTATTCATGACAGACTGGGGAGTCCCAGGGGTCCCCCAAATCCTCCACCTCAGAGGCACTTTCCAGGGCAGGGGTATGGAGCTAATGGGGTGGGTACCAGCCCAGTGCCTCTGGACACAGAACTGCCCACCCCAGGGCCACCACCCACCCATCTGCCCCAGCTGTGGGATTCCTCAGCAGTTTCTTACCCCAGGTCCACTCTGGGTCCTGCAGTTGCTGCCAGGACAGCCTTCTTCGAAGGCCAGCAGCTCTGCCTTCCACAGAGTCCCCCCCTGCCCTGGTCTCCAGTGCTTACAGCTCCTAGGCCAAGTTCCCACCAAATGGGGGTACTAAGCCAACTGGGATTCCCCAGGGGATCTTCTGAGTGGCAGGGGGACAGCCAGAGAGCCCTGAATGCTTTAAATACAATCTCCAGGCCTGGAGAGACATCGTCAGCTCTCAGGAGCAGCCCAGGCCAGCCAAGCAGTTCCCCACGGCTGCTAGCCTACGGTGGACTGAAGGACCCTGGGACCCAGTCCCTGTTCTTTGGGGGAACTCAACCCCAGATGTCACCCCAAGGGGCCCTCAGCCTGCCCCCACCCAGGGTGATGGGAGCCTCTCCCAGTGAGTCCCCTCTTCCCTCACCTGCAACCAACACAGCCAGCAGCAGTACCTGTTCTTCCCTGTCACCACCATCCAGTAGCCCAGCCAATCCCAGCTCTGAGGAGAGCCAGCAACCTGGACCCCTCAGGACCTCAGCCTTCTTCCTGCCTACCACCCATTCCCAGGAGACCAGCAACCCCTTCCCTTCCCCAGAGCCAACACACCCCACATGCTACCAGTCAGAGTCGGCCAAAGCCTTCCCTCTCCCCACAGAGGGGCCAGGAACTGAGGATGCCTTCAAGAGCCTGGAGGGAGTCCCATTCCCCCACAAGAGCCCCTCATTGGGCAGAGACAGGTCGCAGGGCTTTCCTTCAGAGCCACCACAGTACTCTGCCCAGCACTTCTCCCTGAGCAGCGCCAGCCTGGACCAGCTAGATGTACTGCTGACCTGCAAACAGTGTGATCGCAACTATAGCAGCCTAGCAGCCTTCCTGGAACACAGGCCATTCTGCAGCCTGCTGCTAGCTAAGACCAAGGATGGCTCCCTGCAGCCCCCAGGGCTCCCCACACCCACCACCACCTCAAAGGCACCCACTGATGCACACTCAGGCTTGCTTGAACACAACCAGACTGCCCCCTTCCTGCTAACCAGAGATGATCAGGGGGACAGTAAAGATGACTCCCTGAGAACAAGCTTCCTGCCTGCCGGCCTGGCTGTCACCCCCTTTCCACTCCCCACCTCGGATCTTGACATGGAAGATGATGCAAAGCTGGACAGGCTCATCACTGAGGCACTCAATGGCATGGAGTACCATTCAGATAACCCTGAGATAGACAGCAGCTTCATTGATGTCTTTGCTGATGAGGAGCCTTCAGGCTCCAGGGGTCCCAGTGCTGGGCATTCCCTCAACACCCAGGTGGGTGCAACCCCCAAGAATGGTACCCAGTCTCAGCTCCCATCCAGAGTTGTCATGCCAGAACCCCAAGTTCCCTGCACTGGAGACAGGGGCTGTTCATCCCGAAACAGGCCCAAAACCCGCTCCCTGGGCTTGGCATCTGCAGAAGCAGATACAACCACCCTGGTCAAGCAGCAGAGGAGAGGGAAGCAATTCAAGTTGTTTCAGAAAGAGCCAAGTGTGACCAAGGGCACTAACAACCCTGCCAGAGTCATCTGCCTAAGGCCAAGGAAAAAGGGTCACAGTGCTGAGCAGCCCCGGCCCCAGGACCGTAGACGTCGGGCTCGCAAGGTCCATGCTCATGCAGACCACAGCATCCCCAGAGCCGCCTCTAAAGAGACCAGGAGCTCCAAGCACCTGCAACTGCCCTCTGGAAAGGACCCCAGAAAAAGGAGGGGGCGAGGTGGCTCCTGGAGCAAGGAACTCATCCACAAGATAGTACAGCAGAAAAACAGGTGCCACAGGCGGCAGGCACCACGTGGCCAGGTCTCCCATGTTTCTCTGTTGCCTGCAAGACCACCTAGCACCCAGAAGGGTAGAGTCAAGGGGCAAGGCTGTGCCTCTGAATCTGAGGAGGAGGGCGGTGTGCAGCAGCAGGATTTGGGGGATCCTGTCCAAGACTGTTCCCGCCACAGCCGCCAACGGTGGCGCCAAGGCAAGAAGAGAAAGAAAGAAGATTTGGCCCAGGACCCAAGAAAGGTCATGAGGCAGGAGGCTGGTGAAAACAGAGGCTTCCTGTCTCCAAAGAGGACACACAGCCTGCAGCAGAGCTTGGATGCTAGAGAAGTTCCTGTGCAAAGAGGCCCTGAGCATACTGATCGCCCCACAGCAACCCCAAAACATCCTGCACAGGTCCTCACCACCACCAAGACCCAAGAGGAAGCAGCCCTGGACTTTCCGCAGGAGGTCAAGAAGCTTGAAGTTGCTGCCGAGTTTCACCCTGACATCACAGAACTCAAAGAGAGGTCTGGTTCTCTAGCTAGCTGTGGTGGGGAAAGCCCCAGACCTGCTGCTCCAGTGCCAACACAGGCTGGCGGCCCCAGCCACCCTGAAACACTATCAGGAAAAAGCATACCAGCAACAGATGCAGGCTGTCTGCTGGGTACTTCTGGGTGTATGAAGCCCCCCAGTTTGCATACCAGAGAAGACTCCTCTGCTCCCCAGCCTGGAGGGTGCCTGGCACCCATTGATAAGGTGGCAGATGCTTTCTACACTGAATCCGGAATCCCGGTTTTCAAGAACTCTGGTTCTGGTTGTGAACCTGACCACTGTGACAGACACTCCATAGGGTGTCCAGCTGCCAAAAGAGGGCCCCTGCCTAACAGTGACACCCCGTGTGAATTGTTCCTTGTATCCAAGGACATAGCTAACTGTTTCCCTGAAGATTCGTGCTCCAAGCCTTTAGCTATGGACACACTGCCTGCCAGCAGCTGCTACCTTGGCCAGGACAGTATGGAGAATCTTGAGTCAACACCACCAAAGAATCCACCCTACCCAGTTGAAATAGACCCAGGCAAGGTGCATTCGCCACTGACCTTGGAGTCCACATCCCTGTTTACAGGGCTGCCTGAGGATGGATTTGACCCACCACTGTACAAGAGCTTATCTGCAAACAGGGTCACCCATGCACCACTGGTGTGTACTGGCCCTCTCCCTAAGAAACTTCTGACAGATCCCCTGTATCCACCATTCTTGCTGCTGGAAGAAGCCTCTCCAGTGCTGCCTGGCCCCTTTCCTGGCCTCTCTAAGGGAAAAGCACCCAGCAAGAAGTGTTCCTTTGAACAGACAGTACCTCCCAGCCTGCCTCCTGGGCCTGAAAAGGGAAGTGACTGCAGTGTTACCCTTATGAGCAATCTGTGTGAGGATGAACTAGAGATCAAAAGATTGGTAACTGAATTAGAAAGCCAACTGCAAGGGAAAGGGAGTACACAGGGGGCCTTGGGAGAGCCTGAGGAAGCTGCAAATGAAGGCAGGATGGACCCATGTCCAAGACAGGCCTCCCTGCTGCCCACATTTCAGGCCACCTCACCCCACAGAGACATCCTCTCAGCAGCCAACCTTACAGGTCTAGAGGGATCAAGTTCACAGCAGGAAGGGGCCCTCAGGAACCCCCAGAAACAATGGTCCTACCTAGCTTCCTGCCACACAGGCAAAGCAACACCTCCCCCAGGTACCCAGGAAGACCCTGGTTCTGGGGCTCCTCTCAGTCCTGCAGGTTTCAGCCTCAGTTTTGGACAGTTGCAGGAGGCCAGCATCTCCAACACAGACTGTCAGGTCCCCATAAGTGACCATTTGCCTAACTCCAACAGGCAACAGGCACCCTTGCTACATGTTGAGAGTTCAGCTAAGCACAGATCAAACCCTGAGCTTTTGTTTTCTAAAAATAATGAAGCTTCTGCGACACAGGAGAATGCCCCACTGCTGCTTCCTGATAAACATACAAGAGGGCATTCTCCAGACTCCTGTGAGGCCCAGGAACCCTGCCCAAGTTCCTCTGCACTAGAAGGGTTCAACAGCCCCAGTGCCTATCTGGGTCTAGAGCCCAACTTGATGCTTAAGGGTGATGAGGGTGTCACCTCCCCTCCAAGTGTTAGTCCCAGCCATGGCTCTAAAGGACACCTTGAGAGCCAAGCAGGAAGTCCCAAGGAAACTATGCTTACCAGCCCCACTGCAAAGGACCCTGGCTTTATGGGTGAGTCTGTCCCTGCAGGTGCCTCTCCACTTTCCACCCTCCCGAGTGGCAAGGCTTGGTCCCATCCCATGCCAGATCCTTCCTGGGTGACTGGTACCCCCCAGGAACCAGCCTGCGGCTCCTTTCCTCTGCTCCAAGATGCTAGAGCCGAGAGTGAAGACAATACCCAAGGCCTTCAGCCTGGGGACCCCTCAGAGGCCAGTACTCTGGGGGCTGTAAAAATGTCAGCTCTAACTACAGACATCCAAAAGCAGCTGAGGTCAAAGGCAGTTGGACATATGGGCACACCAGGTCAGTCTAAAAAGACCAAGGGCAGAGGTCACTCTAACAGACTTCGGACAAATAACTGGAGGAGCCTGGGGAACCCAGACGCACTCACCAAGGTCAGGACCCATTTGGAAGTTAGGCCGGCCAGGAGCAGAGGGGCATGTCAGGGGAGCAGAGCAGCCCGGGGCTTTAGGAAACAAGCACTGCCCTCCACAAGCCCCACCCACCCTGATGGCACACCCTCCATTTCCACCCTGACAGCATTCCCTCTCCAGATGGAGCCTGCAGAGAGAAGCCCAGAGCAGTCAGCCAGCCCACAGCTGCCAGCTCCCTCTAGTAGCGGCCTGGCCACTTGTGCCCTCTCAGCCACCTCCCCAGCCACACCTACTCCCAATGACCTTGAGCCCTTACCCCAGGAAGACCCTGGAACCAGAGTCAAGCCTACTCGGCCACCAGCACCTTCCTCCTACAGAGACCTACTCATCCCCTACCATCAGCCAGCCTATACTGTTTTGGCACCTCTGGGAAAGACCAGTTGTGGCCAAGCCACCAAAGATGCTGGGTCCCTAACAACCCCGACATCACCGATAACAAGTCACTGTGGCTCTGAAGAGACTTTATCCCACCACTCACTCCTGGGGACCAGCAGTCCCAAAGACCCTCCCTTGGGCCCACTTGGCCCCACCAGTTTCTCAGACCCTGTAATGCTTGACAGCGAAAGCCCCAAAGGCATCACAGTAGGAACATTAGAAGATTCCAGGAAAGAGGAGCTGAGGACATCTCCTGCTCATGCCACAGCTCCTCCCCCAGGGGGTCCCAGCTCCCCCAAAATAACCATCAACGATGGCCCCCTGACCGGCATCCCCACCAAAGATGACCTACATTCTGATGAGAGACTTGAGGTGCCAGATCCCCACTGCAAGGTAATCCCACCCCTCAGCAGCCCAGAAAGGACATGTTGCAAGGACCCTTCCTTAAGGCCCCAGAGCAGCACACCCTGCCCTGGCCACAGGGAAAGCCACAGCATTATAGCTGTGCCCACAGACTTTGCCACACTGGGGACTACAACACCAGACTCTCAGATCTGCCGGGATGAGGCAGCAACCAGTATCGAGGAACAGGACAACCCAGAAACACCTGGGGCAATACACTGTGATGTGACAAAGGTACCCAGAGCCAATGCTCGAGGCATGCCCACAGGACTCGGCTTGGCTCTAACAGCCTCTCTGAGCTGCACAGAAACTGACTTCAGGTCTGAGTCCCCTCAACACCACACCAGTATCTCTCATCATTCTCTCCAGAAGAACCCCTTCAGCCCCCAAGAGTCTAAACAGAGGCCCCGAGGCATGAAAAAAAAGCCAGAGCCGACAGAGAAGATCCCAGCAGGGCCACTCATGACCTGTGAACTCTGCTCAGCCTCTTTCCTCTCCAGAGCAGGCCTGAGCCGGCACAAAGCCAGGAAGCACCGGCCACTAGGGAAGACTAGCTCCCAGCTGAGCCCCGTGATCCTGCCAACTTGTCAGCCTCAAGATTCCATGACCCAAGTGTGCCAGACCCCTGGGAAGAAAAGCTGCAAGGTGATTGGGAAAGGGAGACCAAGTCACTCACCCATGGGCCCTGGCCACTTTTCTCAGCCACCTCCCCTTCAGGCCTCTATAACACCAGAAGACAACATGGGTCCTGAGTTGTTGAAGGTGACTAGTGGGAAATCTGAGGGACCCAGGACACCAGACACTCCTCTCAACCAGCAACCGCACACCCCAGGCCTGATAGAGCAGAGAAAGGGCACAAAGGTTCCAGCCTCAAAGCCAAGAAAACCACATGGGTGGCAAGCACATCAGCTCCACCCCAACCAGGGAGAAATGAGAAGCCAGAGACAAGATGGAGAGCCTGCTGATTCCCCCAGCTCCTCAGAGAGGAAATCAAACAGGAAAGGGGGGAAGCTGAGAGTGAGGAGGGAGAAGCATGGTCCTGGCAACACTGCCCATGTGACTTCAGACAGGGACCTCTCAGATCCATCGGCCACGTGTGACAACCATCTCATTCCCCTGAGCCTCTCGCCTGAGGGAGAATGCAGGACCTCTCTCAGGCCACCAGCTCTGTCCCCCACAGTAGGGCCCAGAGCTCTGGAGGATGCTGCAGACATGGGCACAGGGGCTCTGTGTACAAAAGAGATGCCAGCAGAGAAGGCCCCACAAGAGTGGCAAGTCTGCCAAGGGACAATAGAGCGGGAACATCCAAAGGAACAGAAGGCAGACTGGGTACAGTGGTTCTGGGGACCAGGAGAGGCCAGGGCGTTGGACATTAGTGGAGAACCATCACAGGCTATTGAGAGCCAGCCTGCAGAGGACAGCAGAGGAGCCAAAGGCAGGTCAGATGAAGGCACTGGGAAAGGGACATCTGACTTACCCGATAGCACACACGGTCTTGAAGTGGACAACACCATCAACAGCTGTTCCCAGAGTCCTATCAATGACCCAGAAACCCTGAGTGGAAATCTGGGGCCCAAGGGCACCACTCCTGAAGCCTCCAGCCCAGGTCCAAGGGAACCTCTAGACTTATTCGACGATGAGGTATCCTTCTCTCAGCTTTTTCCCCTGGATGGCCGCCTCACTAGGAAGAAGAACCTACGTGTCTATGGGAAGCGCTGCAAAAAGCCAAAGTGCCCACCAAAGGAGCCCAGCTCTGAGGTGGTACACAATGCCCCACTCTTCTCCACACGCTTGCCCACAGATCTCAGTGACTCAGGCTCTCTGTGCCTGTCCCACGAGGAAGAGGGCCTGTGGGATGATGAAGCCCTGAGTTTGCCAGAGTCCCTCCTCCTAGATAGGCTCCTGAGCAGTAAGGCACCTGGTCTTGACCCCTGGACCCCCAGCTTCAGCCTATGGGCCCCAGACAACAGGGAGGCCAGCTATATGGAGGAGGGGCCCCCCTGCTTTACAGAGAACCAGGATGAGTGGTCGGAGGCCATCCCCCAGCTGCACATGGTCCCAGCAGCCTGGCGAGACCTGGAACTGTGTAGCCCTGCCTGTGAAACACCCTCTTCCCTTGGAGACATGAGCCCGGAGCCCCCTAACCTAGAAAGAGAACATGATGTTAGGCTTTCGGGGAATGCCAGCCTGCCCCCACTTTACATTAAAGACTTTGAGGTGCTCAGCACTCAGCTAGAGATACAAGACCTGTGCTTTCTAGGGCCCTGTGATGACCTTGCTGACCTCCCCAACCCAGGCATCTTAGACTTCCAGGCCACAGCAAATTCACAGGGGCCTCCAAACAAAAGAATAGAGGAAGCTGCCAGGGCCAGAGGAACCAAAGGCAGAGACCGACCAGTAAAGGGCAGGAGGGCCTCCTACAAGTGCAGGGTGTGTTTCCAGCGCTTCCACAGCCTGGGTGAGCTGGATCTACACAAGCTGGCACACAGCCCCTCACCACCCCCTACTTGCTACATGTGTGTGGAGCGCAGGTTCAGCTCCCGGGAGCTTCTTCGGGAGCACCTGTGGGAGAAGCATGTGCAGGGCAAAGCAGGACCGTGGGCCTGCGGCATGTGCCTGAAGGAGGTGGCTGATGTCTGGATGTACAACCAGCACCTGCGGGAGCATGCAGCCCGCTTTGCCAGAAATGGACAGACACGGAGAGACCTGCCAGGGTGCTTGGAAGGGGAGAGTACTCTCACACACTTCCTGAACAGCATTGTGGAGCAAGCATCCAAACCCCAGAGGACTGAGCACTCAATTGGCAAGGCCAGCAGGGAGGCATTGGAGCAAGAAGGAGAAGCAGGGAAGAAAATCCCAAGGAGAAGGGTAAAGCAAAAGGTGCCCACCGCAGTCACTTCCAGCCAAGATGGTACTTTGCTATCACTCAGTCCATCAACGGAAGCAGGCAGCCCATCCATTCTGACCAGCAGCTCTGGCTCTGCCAAGACGCCCCCAACTCCATCCCCAGACCCTTGGTTCCACAGTGATTCCCCCCTCCAAGCGGTCCCAGTGCATGAGGACTGCAAGGACCCCTCCCGTGACTGCCACCACTGCGGAAAGCAGTTCCCCAAGCCCTTCAAGCTGCAGCGCCACCTGGCGGTGCACAGCCCACAGCGTGTCTACCTGTGTCCCCAGTGCCCACAGATCTACCCTGAGCACTGGGAGCTGAGGGTACACCTGAGCCTGACCCATAGGGTGAAAGAGGAGAGGGAACTACCACACATGCCTCTCTATGCCTGTGAGCTCTGTGCCAATGTCATGCATGTCATCAGGAGGTCCTTTGTCTGCAGCTCCTGCAACTACACCTTTGCCAAGAAGGAACAGTTTGACAGACACATGGACAAGCACCTGAGGAGCGGCCAACAGCCATTCACGCTCCGAAGTGTTAGGCGGCCAGGGGTTCCTGGGAAGAAGACCCAGGTCCCCCAGGACATGCTACCCAGCAAGCGGCATGGGGTGGTAGTGCCCTCCAGCACTGACAGAGTCCCATCCACAAGCAGCCCTACTCCAAGTGAGGGCTGCCTCCCTGCACTACCCCTGATCTGTTCAGAGACAGCTCCTAGCCCCATCCTGGACCAGCCCAGTTCTCAAGAGAGGCCTGTGGACCAAACAAACCACTCACTCAAGGGGAACAACCCACCATTGACTGACCAGGACCTTCCACCTCCGTCTCTATCTCCTTTTCCAGCTGCCTCAGCTGAAGGTACAGGTGTCTGCAAGCCAGACAGAGCCTTGGAGAAACCAGAAAATCAGGCTTCCTTAGGCAGCCTTGAGCCATGTAAGTGGCAAACTCCCCCAGGAGAAAAGAGGTCCCTTCACCTGTTCTCAGGAAAGCATAGGAGCCTAGGCACCGGAGGCAAGTGTGCCCCTGGCTGTTCCCCAGGAGACCCCTCCCAGCTCCAGAAGGAGAGGCTAGTGACCACTCACCACATGGTGCCTGAGGGGAAAATAGAGGTTTCCTCCCAGAAAGGAAGTGCCACCAAACAAGGGGCCTGCTTGAGTTCTTCCAAGCATGGATCAGCAGTGCCCCCCAGCAAAGTGCTGAAGCTACCAGCACCATCTAGAAAACCTATAGGAATGGGGACCCCAGCATCTGGAGAGCTGGGCCAGAGTCCTGAGGACAGGGTAAAACCCAGCACTTCTAAAGCTAAACTGAGACCCAGTTCTCAGGGCAGTGGAGGTCTACAGCCTGGTACTCAGACAGGGGGTGGCAGCCAGCCCCAGCCAACCAGTGGACAGCTCCAAAGTGAGATGGCCTCCACCCCCACTGAGCCCAGTTGTCTGAGCTGGGAGAGCTCCACCCCTGACCAGCCCCCACCACAAGTCCACACCAAGGGCAGTGCCAGAGGGAGCAGAGAAACTGAACATCAGGGGGTCCAAGTGCATTCAAGTCCCAGGGAGAAAAGAGAAAACAGTGAAAAAAAGAGGAAGGGTCAGGCCCTGGGACTGGCCAGGCAAGGAAGCATGGGGAACATGGGGAGAGTCCCCTCTGCCCCTGACAAGTCATCCAGGGCCCCTCGAAAGCAAGCAACTCCCAGCCGAGTTCCCCCTGTCAAGTCCAGACCCAGCAGCCAGAGCGGCAGGACAAGGCCACAGCCATCAGCACAGAAGAAAGGGGACCTGGGCCACACTTCTGAAAAGGGCTCCTTCCCCCAGGCAAGACTCCTGTCCAGGCCATATAAAAGGGTCAGAGCTGTCTATGGTGTTGAACACATGGAGCCCCGAGACCACCGGACTGCAGAGGCCCAGAGCGATCTCCTCAGCCAGCTGTTTGGACAGAAACTGACCAGCTTCAAAATCCCTCTAAAGAAAGACAATTCCCAGTAACCCACAAGAGAGGGTACCTGAAGGCCAGCTGATGGGCTCCTGTCTGGCCTTCAGAGTTCCAGGCAGCTTGGTTTGAGACCACTCTTCTGTTCCTCTGCACCTGGCTTCCCAGATTCTCCAACAGATTAGAGGACCGAGTGTGCTCCTGGAAGCAGGGCTTTGTGCTGGAAGGCTGGGATAGAGGGAAGGACCAGCCTCAACCCCCCTGAGATCATGCACCTATCTTCTTGGTACCAGGTGCTTAAAGAAAGCAGCTCACATCTCATCACTGCCACCGTGCCTTGTTGGCCAGGTGCCTTGTGCTATAAAACTCGTGTTTAAAGGTTTGCCCAGGGTCCCCCATCTCCTAGCAGGCCAGCACATTAAGGCAGTCAGCCAGACAGTGTTAGCTGCCTTGTCTTCTGCTGTTGCCAAGATTCCAAAATGACCTTAGAAGTCACATGAGAGAGGACCATGCTCTCTACTTGGGCCATTTCTGAGCCACCTGGTCCTTGAGAGTATGACAGGGCCATCCCCCTGACCACAAAGTCATGCTGGCCTCTAACTGCAATGCTGATCTTCCAGCACCTTGCCCCCAGGGACTGGGTTCCTATAGGGAATGCAGAGAAAAAGCTGCACTTTGGCCAGTGCCCAATGGATCCCTCAGCCCTATAGCCCCTTCCTAGTGCCTTCCTCCCCTGTGGGGCTTTGTCTCTAGGTCCCAGAAAGCCTGATCCAAAGGTTCTGGTGCTATTCCCATGCTGTAATGTGAATACAGGCTCCCTGGTCTTATTTGAACCACAGGATAATTAGGGTGGGGAGACCTAGCCAGGGAGGCTACAGCCCAGGCCTTGAACCTCACAGGTCTCCCCAGTTGAGTTCCAGTCCCAGGGTTCCAGCAGTAAGGGACCCTCAAGGCTGGGCTATGGGTGTGGTTTGTGCACTGGCATGAACCTGCCATCTACACACCTGCCGATATAGTGTTGGTGTATCAAATTGGGCAGGAGGAGATGCTTCCCATTTCTCCTAGGGAGTCTTAGAGATTCCTGGCTTATTTTGTTGTGTAGTTTTTAGCTTGGGTGCAATGTGAGTGTCAAAAGGTTTTATTTTGACATTTTAAACAAGACCAAATCAGGCCCAAATTGCCTCCATAGAAGGTGTTGGGGTCTTTCAGAATGCCTCTTTCAAATGGATAAAGACGTGGGCAGGGGCCCCCTGAGGTCATACTGTAAAAGTCACAGCTAACTCGTCTTTTCAAATATATTCCACTATTTTCGCAGAAATCTCTTGGCTCTGTGGCATCTTTTCTAGCTCCTGCTTCTCACTGGAGCCCATATGTGGCTCAGGAAGCATTTGCTTTGATGTCTTTCCCCAAGACCACTGTGTGCTATGAACCAAACCAAAGTTGGGAACACTTAAGGCAAGGACCCAAGAGGGACTGGAGGGGAATAGGAATCCTCTAAACTGGATTTAGGAAAACAGAGATGTGGATAGGTGGCATAAACAGAACTGGGGAGGGGCAAGGAAGGGATTTGACCAAACAGGGTCCTTGCTAATAGTATTTGGGCCAGCGATGCTCAGGGGAGTGGCTTGTCTGGTTTGTGTCTTGGAAAAGGTTTGAAGGGTTCCAAAGTGGAGACCCAGTGGACAAACAAGATCCCCTGTCCTGCCCTATTCTTCATCTCAGCAGGATTCAGGTAGCATCCTAGTTAGAAGCAACCCCATTGCCTAGGGCTAGGGTTGAGTGACTGGTCAGATGTCACAGACTGGTGGAACTCTGCCCTCTTACACACCCTTAAGAGCTGACTTTAAGGGCAGTTTCTTGGAGACATATAGGCTGTGCGCAAAGCTTGACATGAACAAGTCCAGTCCCTGACCACCCATCCCATCCTGTGACCCATGGACACACAGAGTGTATAACCCTAGCCTGACCACCAGGTGGCAGCATGCACCCAACCAGGGAGCCTGGCTTGCCACCAGAGCACAAAGGCAGCCCCTCGGGAACCTAGTGGGCCTCAAAGTGCTGTGGACAGAGCTATGGGTTTCCAAATGCAGATGCATCCAGCAGGCAGTACCTTGTCTGTACCATCGGGCGTACATTGCACACATGGCCCCACACATGAGTGTTCACATATGTACAGCCACTCTCTGAAAGCACACCTGCTCACATCCAGGTGCCCTAGAGGGGCCAGCAAATACCCTGATATATGTGATTTGAATGCATCTGGAAGTCAGGGGCCTGGCTCTAGAGAGCCCTGGGTAGGATCCCCTGAAGAATACATTCAGACAAGAGCCAAGAAACAGTGAGTTTACCCAGAAGGGGGACTGCAGAGAGTCCCAGCCCTGGGAATTATCAGGGCCACTATCACACAAACCTTTCCCTTGTCCTCAGGCAGGGCCACTTCACCCCTGAGGCTTTGAGGCCCCTCCTGCCTGCCATCCCCTCCCCCAGGAGCTGCCTCAAGGGGAGGTGTATACAGACTATAGCTTTCCACAGTATCCATTATAAGTCCCCAAGTCTATCTCAGCCTGCCTAGGAAGAAGGGGAGGAAAGATGCCCAGGATCAGAAGGAAGACAGGCAACAGGCAGGAACTTTTGAGTTTCAACTGGGGGCCAGACAGCAAGAGGTTCAAGAGAACTACTAGCAGCATGGGCAGCCACACATGGCATTTCTATGGGTTGAGCCCATTATCTCTGGAGAACTGAGGCTGGATGTTCATGAGATGTCAGCTGTCATGTCTGTCATGGCTCCAGGGAAGAACCTGACTGGGGCAGTAAAGAAATGAAGAAAAGGCAGATACAGAAAGACACACAGAAAGAACTGGGTTTTGGGGGCCTAGATTCTCTGATGGAGAAACTACAGCACCCCGGAAGCTCGGTGTGTCTTATTATATAGAGGCAAACAGAGGCAGGGGTGCTGCAGACAGTTGAACAAAGGGGCGGGGTTTATTGTGCAGCTGGATGGAGGAGGCAGGTTTAGTCTCAGGAGGAGTGGTCTCTATAGGTGTAGGGAAGCAGTCTTCAGGCTGTGATCATTCAGGGGGAGAAAGCTATGGTGGTCGTTTTCTACCCACACTGTCAACGTCCACACATGGAGAAGAAGAGAAGGTTCTGCCATTTCCCTCAGGTCTTGAGGCTAGGGTCCTTGACATGGCTATGCCCATGTCAACAACACACATTCACACAGGACCTCACACACTCAGGCATTTTTCTGCTTTCCCACAGGTTGCTTTGAACACTGCTTTTGCTTGGCTTGCTGTGGCACCTTGCAGAATCTGTGCTCCTGTGGGAAGAACTGAAAGGACAGGCCTAGGCCAGCAAGATGGCTCTGTGGGTAAAGGCACCTACTGTGCAAGCCTGGTGACCTGTGTTCAATCCCAGAATCCACATAAAGGTGGAAAGAGAGACGACTCTGGTGTTCTCTGACGTCCACACACACATGCACTGTCATACAACAATAATAAGGAAGGAAGGAAGGAAGGGACAGGATCCAGAAAAGCCCCTTTAGGGGAATAGAAGCTACCCAGGTATAGGAGGATGCAGTATAATGTTAGGTGCCCTTGTAGTGTTCCCATGAGGCATTTGGGCTTGTGGATTCCAGAGGCTGCAGGAAACGCACAATTGTCCATTTGGGCCAGGCAGACCCAGTTGAAGCCTATGGATTCTTCCAACTTCTAGAAGCTGAGGTGAGTGAGACAGGACCTGCCCCAAGCCACAATCCCCAGTACCCTGGGGGTGGGACATCATAGGCAGACACAATGAGACCTGTACTGTTGTCCTCCCAGTAGGCAAGGGAACCCAAGGTCGCAGGCCGGTTTCACACAGAGTGTTGTCTGCTCCCAAGTTGCTGGCATGGCCTTGAATGTAGAAGCTCAAGGCCCCTCGTCTCCAGTCCTATGAAGGCAGGGAGAAGAGACAGGAGTAGTCCACCTTGGCACAGGTTTTGGCTGGGAATAGATAATCAGCCCCTCAGTCTCCATTGTCCTAGACCCCCAGTGCTATTTCTGGGCTCCCAACAAGAGAGCATGTGACTTTGCCATGGTGGTGAGAGTGGCAAGATTTGGCTGTTTCCTTCAGCCCTAAATGGATGTCATGCTCAACACACATCCTGCCACCCTGGCACTCAGCAGCTTTCTCCTTAGACCCATCTCCAGATGAAAGGCTGGCTGGCATAGAACATCTGGAGTTCACAACCAAGTCCTGGGCTTAAATGGGCTCTGTAAGATCACTTGGGAGGCTGTGGCTGGGAGGAAATGGTGTTTGTGAGTTCTGGACTCGCCCCCATGACAAGCACTCACTGCAAGAGAAAGCAGATAACACCACTGGGGTTCTCCACACTGCTACTATTGCAGGCCTCAAAGTGACATCACAGTAGCTTCCATAGTCCCCAACTGGCCAGCATGGGGTCCCTCCCTTGGTGTGGAACAGGACATAAGACAAAGGCCACTGATGCTCTTTTGTGGAGTCTGGGATGGCTAGTGGCACACAGCAGCAGCAAGCCAAGAGCAGTTTTGAGATCCAACCAGGTGATACTGAACTTCTTCCAACCCCACTGAGCCCCATGAGGGTGACTGGGTCTAGCTTTGCTCTTGAGGTCCTGTTCCAAATGGACTGTCCACTGCTTCTCTGGGACATATGTGACTGACAGGCAGACCTCCCTCCCCTGTACCTGAGCACAGCTGAGGGTTGGAAGCGTCCCTGAGAACACAGGGCCTCTATCCATGTCTGCAGCCACCCCAAGAATCTTGACTCTCATTTTCACCAAGGACTGCTCAAAGGACCTCATGGCTACATCCTGGACACACACTCCAGTGTGAAAGCATCTCTCTGAGGGGCATTTTCTGGCCCCAGGCAATAGGCCACAGTCCGATCTTCCAACCTAGCATATCAGGGTTCTTGTGTACTGCCTTAGTTCTGCTAAGGGGTGCTGGCAGACACAGCCTTCTTTGGACATCTTATCATAAGCATATATAGGAGCCGCTAGTGGCACATGAACATCCAACCTGGTTATAGCTGGCCGTGACTTGAGAACCTTGGCACCTTGTGCCCCACAGGTCCCCATGCCTAAAATATGGCTGATGGCCCTGGATATCCAGATAGGCAACCTCACAGCCCTCATCTACAGCTGGTCCACAGCTGGTGCTGCGTGCCCCACTCCATACGTGACTGCTGCCCTTAACTACTGCCTCAGTAGTCAATGCTGATCAAGAAGGATTCAACACGGACGTTAGCTCTGAGTGCTGACTGAGCAGGTCCTGCTTCTGTCTCCCCTGGCCTCACTCCAGCAGCTGCAGTCAGATGAGGCGGCTGAAAGCCGAAGCAGCCTTCCAAGTGACAGCTACCTCAGGCCAGTCCATTGCTGGAAGGTTTGAAAAGCCTGCACGGTCATCATCCTTGCCGACTTCCCATTGGCTGAAGTGGGTCTTGTGGCCAGAATGTGAGTGAGCCTAGGAGGGCTGGTAGGTGTGGCCTGCTCAGCCTACACCTGGCTTCCTCAGGTATCCAGCTCCTCCCTTACCCCCTGTCTTTATTCTGGTCATTTTATCACCAGCCTCCCCTAGCCACAGCTATGCTGAGGAAAGCCTATGAGTCAGCTTTGCCTTACTACACCAAAATACCCTAGGCAACCATGCAGTTAAAAAAGAAAGGCTCCAATTCACTCAGAGCTCCAGAGGCTCAGGGCAAGTGCCTGCATCCACCCATTTCTGGAGGATAATGGGTAGGGGGAACACCCATGGCCAGAGATCATAGGAGAAACAAAACTCCCATGTTGATTAGGAGCAGAAAGAGACCAAGAAGGGATAGGGACTCCTTGTCCACTTGAGTGCAGATCCCAGTAACCAAAAGGCCTCTATTGAACCACAAATTGTAAGGTCTCAGCACCCCCAAACATTGCCACAGAAGAAAAACTCCAATATAAGAATTGGTGGGAGACTCAGCATTCCAGCACCTCCATAGAACCCCAGATATAGTGTCCCCCTTCTTGGCTGCCCAGAAGGACACATATCCTTCCAATATATTCTACACCTACCCATTGCATTTCATCTTCAATTGCTCCCATGGAAGCAGACTTCTGACCTTTCAGTACTGTCCACCCCTGTTGCCATGCTACAGTCTTTCTTTCTCTCGTCTGCCACCCACTGCATCTAACCTTCCCGTGTGGTCCAAACCACCGATTATTTCTATCTATTGTCTCCCTCTTTCTCTAACTTGCTCCCCTATGGTAGGGATGTCTGTGGTTCACTGCTTAATCCCAGTACCTCAAATTTGGCCCATCATCTTTGTG